TACTTTAAATGATTATACATTTTGGTTAATAGTCTGTAGGCTGTTTATACATTATTCTTTTATTTTTATTCATAATTCCAGAGTTTTGAGAAGGCAGATTATAAATTTGTTATGTTTGAAGCTGTCAAGTAAAATTCTAGAAAATTTGCCAATAACTTTTAACAAAATAAAGCAAATAGATTTTTTACTATTTCTAAAATTTATGTGAACACTACTTTCCTTTAGAATATTATATTTGCATTTAGCATTAAAAGTTAAAAATGGGAATTTACATCTCTCAATAATCCTTTGCCCCAAAATGAGATTCAGAAATGTGAATATTTAAACTATTCATGGAACTCAAGGTGATGAGCTTACATCCAGCCATCTGTCCATAGTGCTCTCCATGTCTGTTTTCACCAAGATGAAATCACTACTGTGAATTTTTTTCAGCTCAGATAACAACTGCTTTCCTTTACTGGTAAAGTCATCCAATTCTTTGTGCTCCTTACACATTTCGTTCCTGGCAGTTTCATGCTGTGAACATAAATGTTTCCTTAATTAATAAAATCATCAATGCTAAGAGTTTAAAACCATTTGTCTCCAAGAAATTTAATTATTGGATGACCTGATGCAGAAACCAGGGATATTAATAAACTGTACAAATATATACTAATTTTCTTGAATTGCTAGAATCCTAGGATATCAGAACTCTTAAAAAAAAGTTGAGCTTATTAGCATGAATTATCTACATCTAACTGTACTGACAAGATTTGTATAGCGAATACATTGTGAGTAAAAAAAAAACAGGTTTAATAAAGTGGTCTACTAAAATAAATACATTTTGAATTACTACCTTGGATAAGGCCCATTTAAGATCCTCCTCATCCTTTATAGTAGTTCTGGTTGCAATCACACTGCTGGCATGTTCTAGAACTTTAGATACAGCTGACTTCAAGTTCTGATAATCTCTCATTAAGTCAATAAGCCCACAGCATTGGCCCTGGCTGCAATGATCAAAGAAAAGACATCATTTATTGTCAGGTATCAGGAAAGGGGAGAGTTCTCTATGGTTGGACCTGATGTATACACACATATTAATAGATGAAAGAGAAAGCCCCGTCTATACCTGCCAAGGTCAAAAGAGTGCTGGTAGATCTTACTTAACTCTAATGTCCCAAATATCCTCATGAATGAAGAATGCACACAGCCATTCAAATAAAATCTGTGACTTCACTAATAAGCAAAGATGCAATATATGTTCTGGATTACTCAAACTTATGTAGATATATTATTTTTTTAATGCATATAGATACCCATTGTTTCAGGACTATTCACTGAAAAGACTATTATTCTTTCTTCATCAAATTGCCTTTTTAAAAAATCAATTGAGCATATCTGAATATATTTAAAAGAGTGAATTTTACTTTATGTCAGTCATACCTCTGTTACAAACAACTATAACAAAACAGAATAAAAAGGAAATCAGGAGGTTAAGACTCTCATGGTCGCACTTAGTAACTTGACAACTGCGTTTCAGCATTGAATTTCTCATGTAATTATTATCTCAGAGCAGCCTCCTTAGTCAAGTTCTGTAGGACTAAATTCTTATCATTACCGAAAGACACAGAATACTACAGATGGCAAAAGATATTCAATCTTGATCACACCCATGCAAATCACCAGGCATGGCCCAATGTCACAAAATAGGGAGAAGTTAAAAACCAAAAACTGAGAAGTTTCTGACTTACTTTTCATGAATTAGCTTTTTGGTATCATCCCAGGTGACCTCTAAGCGATTTATCTCTGTATCAACTTTAGGTGCAAAGGCTACATCTTTCTGAGCAATTTGCTTAGCTTTGTCTTTCAACCAACATAGCTCATGCTCATGAGAATTCAGTTCATCTTCTAACTGATTGAAGACTCTCAACCTGTGAATTAAAGTGTGGTTTTACTAAAGGTAGCAAACCAATATTTCCTCTCCATAAAGCACACATACTGAGAGCTAGAAAACTAGTAACAGAGCAATCAAATGGATGGCTGTCAACTGATAGAGATGCCTTTACAGTTAACTTTGCATACTTTAGAGTGTACTGCAGAAAACATTTAAAGTCAGTCTCACTACTCACCTTCAAACTTCTAAGTTTGTATTCTCTTTCTATTATCCTTTGATGGTATAAGACTTTTAAAACTAGGGCTGACCTTCTAGGCAAAGGAGGTGAGTTCTGATTGCAAGGTATTGATATAAAATTATTTTGTGCCATGAGGTCTAACTCATGTAAAATAATATTTTAGAATCATAGTTGTTTCATAAAATAAAAATAGTTTTACCAAGCTGTACTCTACATATCTACATATATAAAAGCCTAAGCAACTGCTTGACCATTTGACTGGTAGCTATGACATGCACTGACCAAGAGGGGGCAGATGCTCAATGCACAGGCATGGAAACATGGAACAGACTGATGAATCTCAGAGGGAAGGTGGGAGGAGGGAGGGCAGAAAGAAATTAACCAAAGATCTTATATGCATACTAGAGGCCCAGTGCACAGATTCATGCACCGGTGGGCTCCCTAGGCCTGGCCTGCACCTTCTCGAAATCTGGGACCCCTCGGGGGATGTTGGAGAGCCGGTTTCGGCCTTATCCCCACAAGCCCAATCCAGACAGGAGGGAGCCTGATTCCGGGGTGTGTCACCCAAGAACCATCCTCTTGCAATCAGAGACCCCTCAGGGATGTTGGAGAGCCAATTTCAGTCCTATCACTGCAGGTTTGATCCCCACAGGGAAAAGCTTAATCCCTTTCCCAAGTCTTATTTCCCTTTTTGTAAAGTTGATGGG